CTTGCTAAAAATCGCAGCACTCCTTGCAATCCATATAAAAACACTTTATGAACATGAATTAAGTATAGTAACCTTTCCTGAATGGAGAAGATCAACCATTCAATTTTTTGGGAACACTTTGACAATAAATGAGCTTGAAAATGTTTTGAAATAATGCACCTATCAATGTAATGCCGGCGGGGGGGTGGGAGGGGAGGCAGGGCATAGGGTGGGGATTTGACTTTTTTCGAGAATTTGCAATCAAATTCCCTGGCCACGGGCAAATCATTCCAGTCAAATGCAACCAAATTTCCCCACCTCAGGCTGCACATTGCTGTCAATCCCAAGGCAGAATAAAACTCTGCAATCTTTTATAAACGTTGCTGCATCACCAAAGATATGTTCCTGTTACAGCTGCAATTATACGTTTTAACCATAATCCGTGTTACACTGCGTAGAATACATAAACCTTTAAGAGAAAGTCCACAGTTTGTAAGTCTAAATATACCGTTCTTAGTAAAGGGTACAAAGAAAGAAAGTCAGTTTTATAAGTTTACAGTGATTGTAGCGAATGAGCCATGGATACACTAATCAATTGTACTTGCAAAAATTGACCTGGTTTCTCTGTACTTCCGTTTACTTTGATACTACAGTATTTTAAGAGGTTCAATTGATCAAAAACACGCTAAAACAAACAAAATTTGAAGACAAAACAGTGAAATCCACTCAGCCTTCGCTTGTTCTCATTGGCCTTCATGACTTCCTGATCTTTTCAAACAGTATGGTGCATGCATGAAGCGTGGAAGGGGGAAACATATGTTCGGTCTCAGTCTTTTTCGTCCGAGTCGGCAGTCAAATATCTCCACGTCGGGCGAAGAAAGATTCAAATACCCCCTCCCCCGAGAGAACAAGATCAGTCAAATGCCCTACCCCAGGGACAACAAAGACAATCAAATCCCCACCCTATTAACTCTCATCTCAAGTATGAGTATGAACATCAATACCCATCAGCAATAAAACACAGGGGCATAGCTAGGATTTTTGTAGAAAGAGGTGTGCACAATCTTCCAAATCCCACTCCCCACATCCTTAAAGCCCAAACCTTTTTCAGGTTTCTTGATTAAAGGAGAGCTTACATTGTAAACTGAAACATTATTAAACTGTATATGAAATGACATAATCAGAAAGTTGTAAAAATCATAAATTAGTTGTCATTTATTACACCAACAAGCTACTATCTTGTTTAACAAATTGTTTTACACTAACAAAAGCGCTCTACATTTGCATAATTGTTTCCTACTTCATCTACTGCATCTCAGTCATCCTTGTCACCACAGTAATCCCATTCATCACAGTCATTCTGGTCATCCAAGTAATCCCATTCCTCCAGCGTGCAAAGAAAGAAGTGTCCGATAGCTAGTGGATTTTGCTATCGGGCTAGTGAATTCTGTTATTAGCTTGCCCGATGGGCAAGTGGATTTTTTTGAGGAATTCAAATTACAGAAGAACTGTGAAATCAATCTGCTCATCAAAACGTTTTCTGGGCTAGTTGAAATGATATTTGGGCTAGTAAATGTTAGCTTCAGCTTGCCCGAATGGCAAGCTGTAAAAATGACTTTCTTTGCACCCTGTTCCTCACAGACGTCCTAGCCATCCAATAGACCATTTTCGCTATAATAAAGTTCATACTTGGCTCCAAGGCTCGGGGCAATAAAACAAAAGAAATGTATTATTCATTGCTGAGCCTCAAGATGATTTGTTTTGTTTTATTCCCGCAAGCCTTGCAGCCAAGTATGAATTTTAATATAATATTACCAATGGGTCAATTCATGCCAGTCATCTTAGTCACCTTAGTCATCCTTAGTAGTCATCCCAGTTGTCCCAGTAATCCTATTCATCCCATTCACCTCAGTCATCCCAGTAATCCTAGTCATTCTAGTTATCCCAGTCATCCTAGTAATACCAGTCATCTGCAGTACCGTTCAAAAGTAAGTTGACACTCGATTCTCGATCCTCGCCAGAATTGAGAATCAAGACTCAATTCTTGATTGTTGTTTACCAATGATTATAAAGGGTTTTTGTTTCAAGTAATTAGCTCTCTACTCCCAATACTCAATTGCTGCGAGAATCTACAACCTTAGTTCAAGTTTTGAGCAATCTTCTAACTTCTCTCACATCAAAACATCTCTCTACTCTATAAAAACTCAGTGTTTGATTCTTGCAAGAAATTTCTGAACTATGCAAATTATACAATAGCAGTTTGCATTTGCATTCACTCGCACGGCTAGGGTGACACTTTGCGTCAACATCTTAAAAATGTTTGAACAGCATTTTGCATCATTTAAATAGCACTAATAGTTGAACTTGAAAAGCAACCAATGACTTAATTTTTCCGTGGGATGCCTGTGGCACACCAGTAAAAAAAATGCGGTTTCATTGTACGAACAATCGCAAAGCCCCCCAATAGGATTGCGGAAAATCTTTATTGACTATTTCTTCTTCCAAGCTGACCAATGGGATTGTACAAAATCTTCATCGATTTTCAATCGATTTGCTTCCTATGAACAACCAGAACGTGCTAAATTTGTCACTAGTCAGTTTCCCACTCGAAGTTTAGGATGGCTTGTTAACTATGGTCGGCGATTTGTTTCCAAATTAGGACACAATATACGTGCGTTTTTTTCCCATGTATACTTGCAATCATTCCTGCTACACGATAGACATGCATTTTTTTGCCACGTATACTTGCGTTCTTTCCTACTTTGTGGGGTTTTTATTCCCAAGTATATGACCATTTTCTTACAAATGCGCATATATATGCGCACAAAAAAGCCCATATATATGCGTTTCAAACAAGCATGTGTATATGGGGTCACAGAAAGTCGTCGTATAAGAGGCACCGAATTATACCGTTCAGCAAAAAACTCCTTCATGTTCGATGGAGCTGAAAAGTAACTTCAGTTTGAATTAAGCATAGCCGCAATTTTGAGCAAGGTTTGGTTCTTATTCATTGCCTTCACAGTAGTGGTGGTTGTTGGCTCCCTGACAACGAATTTGTTGGAATCCGTGGATTGTCTCTTGAGAGACTGTGTTCACTATTTGATGAATGCTGACCGAAACAACGATCGATTCAGTTTGAGATGAGCGTCTGACAGGCCAAACACGACTCATAAGCTCATGTAATGTGAAACATGGCCTTGAGAGTCTGCTTGAACAGATCGGTTTTCCTTCTTTACTCTCTCTCATGCGATTTATCACTTTTTCTCCTCCACGAACACGTTCGAAGCCTCCTAGTCTCGAAGCTTTGTATTCTTTCCCTCCATTGACTCTATAAATTCCATGTTTCTTGTTTTGTATTCTCACACTTTAATAGCCTTCCACCTGCCTCTCTTTCCTTGCTCCTCCACTTTAATTGTGATTTTCATAGTTATCTAACTCGTTCTCGTTCAACTTGCACAAAATGTCCCTCAGGTAAGGGACCATTCATGGCCATTAAGGCAAAAAATATGTGCCAATGGCACAATCTCATGGTGGAGTGAGGGACATGGCCCCACCCTTGCTGGGAAATTTAGGAGCTAAGTTCTCTGAAACGTCATTCCCTCATTTTAAGACCTATTATAAGCAAATTGGCCATTGTCATATTAAGACAACAATTTAATTAAACATCTAATTCCAATAATTTTACTTTGTCTTCAATGTTCTCTTTCCAAAATGCGTGGCCCAGAAAAAGAAAAGCTGTGTACACTTTAGTACTTTTCCACATATTCATTCATTTGCTTGTGAGAATCAGATCACATCACAACTTGCATATTTTTTAAAATTACTCATTTAATTTAAGTAAACCTTCAAGCGGTTGCAGGCGGTAAGAAGTGTTGCTTTAGGCAGTAAATTTTACCGGTTACCTCCTGATGAGGAGAACACTGAAGGAATCATTTCACTTCACTTAGTCATCCTATTCATCCTAGTCATCGTAGTTATTGTAGTCATCCCAATCATCCAGTCATCCCAGTCAACCCAATTACATGTATATCAGTCAACATTATTGAAAAGCACCCATTGAAAAAATATCCTAGTCACGTCAGTCATTTTAGCCTTCATACATGTATACATCCCACTGGTCCTAGTCATTCCTGCCATTCCAGTCACTCCAGTCACCTCAAACTCTCATCCCAGTCACCCTAGTCATCCTACACTGTAGTAATACCAGCCATCCCAGTCATCCTAGTCACCCTAGTCATCCTAGTAATACCAGCCATCCTAGTCATCCTAGTCATCCTAGTAATACCAGCCATCCCAGTCACCCTAGTCATCCTCAATCATCCTAGTTATTGTAGTCTCCCCAGGCACCTTAGCCCTCTCAGGCATATTTATTTGCTTTGCTTTGCTATAGTTTTCTTTATTGTACTGCATGTCATTTCAGTACTTTCATTTCATTTAGTTACATACATGCCTAGCATCTGAACAGGCTGCTAGACCCCAGAAACAATAATTTTAACAAGCCTCAAGAAATTATTATGATGTATGAGGAACATTACTGTCAGGAAGGATGTAATCTAAAACTTACATTTTGATTCTGTCTTCTCTTTGTTACTCTTCAGGGTAACAACTGTCAGCCGTCAGTCCATTACACTTTCGACTGCAACAAAACAAAAAGTCATTTAAAGACCTGAAAATCAACAATTCACAGCCATGTGTAAGCTATAAAGGGATTAAAAAAGAAGGTGGGTGGGGGGGGGAGGGGTTAGTGGTGAATGAAATAAGGGAACTGACTAGTCAGCTGAAGTCCTAGACTTCGAAACAATAGTCATGTTAAAGGGTTTGATTTCTCCAGCCCAAACTAACAAAGAAAGGTAATTATTTATAATGAAGTCTAAATGGCAGTTTAAGAGACTCAGTAAGAATTTAGATCTGTTTAAACGATGTTCATTTTAAGTACATAACTGGCCCTCTAGTCT